GTATTTAATTCCAATTTTAATTAACTAAAGAGACATTCAAATAATTATTTAATGGTGTATTTGTTTATTTAATTTTGGCACTTTTAGTCCTCCATACTCATGTGGGTTAGCATGTGCTAGTGGATCGAATGGATTTATTGCTAGTCAAGCAATTCACAAATAATATGCAACCAAATCCACTCTGGTTTCAAGCGCAGTAATTTGCAACGCACAAAATTCAGAATGGGGCAGGAAGTGAAAGGCAGAATCAATGAGAAGGAAAGGAGTGTGTCGTCCCAGTCAATGTGTGTGAAATGTGGACCACCCAGTGTGTTCTTAAATTATGGCAAAAAGCTATTTTTAGGTCACAGTGACCCTTGATCTTTGAGTCAAATGTGTCACCAACTTATTATCTGACCAATTGTAAAGTATGGTCATCAGTTCTTGACTCAAAACGTGTTTTATGAGTGTGCTCTTTTACTTTTGACCACCAACTTAATCATTTCATCTAAGTGGACCTGTGTGCTGAATTTGAAGAAATTTCCCAAAGGCTTTCCTGATGTATCAGGGATGAATGTGAGGTCACAGTGACCTTTAACTTTGTCCACCAAAATATTTTTTTATATCATGTTCACGAGAGTGGGACAGACTGATGGACAGACAGACAGAGGGACAATAGACGGACAAAAGGATGACCCAAAAACATAATCTTTGTTCTGACTAAAACTAAAACTTTTGAACAAATTCATATTTTTATATATTTGATGATGGAATCTTGTCAGGGAAATGAATATGTAAATTTCAAGGCAATCCATCAAGTTATTGTCAAAACATTCCACAAATCTGAACCTGATGGTGGAGTATGAGAAATTGTCAGGATACATCATCTGGGAACCATAAATATCTGTAGAAAATTGTGTGTCAACCCATCCTGTATATGTTGATACATTTGACAGAGTAGGTGAAAACCTTGACCTTCTGGTGGTGTTATACGAAAATTAAAGGGATAACTCAAGTCAGCAGGATTCATCCTCAGGTCAATCCATCTTATAGTTATTAAGACTTTTCAATAAAAAATACCTGCAGTTGGCAATAGATGTAGAGTTAGGGGATCAGCAAAGGCAATGGACTTCATCCCCTGGGGACCAAAAATGTAAGTACAAATTTCTATGGCAGTCAATCAGTAGCTGTTGAGATATTTTACTCTTGATCAAAGTGGTGGGCCAACTGCCTGCTAGCATGGCTGAAAAGGCAATTCGACTGTTAGGGAAAATGTACAAACTGCAGCGGTGCTTGTTTTATTTTGTGTTGAATTTTAAAGCTATATGTGACATTAATTTTCAGTGGTATTTATGTTTTTCAGGATAGGTTTTATATAATAACTTGTGTTCAAAAAGTAATGAAGCTGACAAACAGTCCCCATCAGATAGCGTGTATATTCCTTCTTTGGCTTGATTTACTTTTCTGTCTAGGTTGTACAATTGCAAGGAATCAGAACAAGTAAATTATAATAAGTAAAAAGTTGTATTTAATTGGCTGGCATGCTACAAATTAATGATCACACAGTATTTTTTGTATTTATTGAGGTTCTGAGGTTACTGTTAATTGCTGACTCTTAGCTTTGAATGGGCTTGTGTTCAAAGGTGAAAGGGCTCAAAGGCTAATTTCTGTGGGCCTCTAACTTCAGTCATGTATAAAATGAGCTAAAATTGCTAAACTTTCACATCAGCTGTACTTATGCACACAGTCAGCATAACACAAATGTGTCAGTGAATCCTAGAGGTGGTGATTTGTCCAAAATACCTGCAAATGGACAAACCTGTAGCTGTATTGTGACGTTGATTAACAAAATGGCAATTACTATGACCAAGTACATTGTCCTTTTAATGCTGAAGGTCTAATTTCAGGCATTACCCAGAGTCTCTCTACAGTATGTTGGCCTCACAGGAGTCAGGCTGCAGTATCTTCATTGTAACAATGAGCTCAATGGATTTTCTAAACCAGGGATAGAAAAAGGCATAGATCAGAGGGTTTAGACAGGAGTTAAAATAGAACAAACATATTACAAAGGCAGCAGATGAAGCATTGAGCAAGTTATCTTGGCCTGTAAGAGCAACACAATAATATGGGCAGATACATATTAGAATTTCTGGAGTGTGACAGCCTTGCAATATGCGAGACCGCATGGCACGAGCCTGAGACCACAGGCCACCGGTAACAAAAATTCTCAATATACAGAGACTACAAATGATAGTAATGGGAATGATGAAGGAACGAAAAAATAAGATCGTTAAGGCCCCCAGCTAAGTGTAGTAAAGCAAACAATGATACACCTCTCCAACACGGAGTTATAACCCTGCCTGGTTGTTCCAGCATGCTTCTAGAATCAGACTTTGAAAGATTAAGAACACCATCCAACACAAGACAAACACAGACTTGAACTCTTTTTCCTGTGATTTCAGTGGAGTCAAATGCAGAGATGAACAAATAGCCCAAACAATTAGCCGGCTCAAAATAAGAATAATTAAGCACCATCGGTTCGATTTCAGTGGAGTAATGCAGAGGATGACAAATAGCCACATAGCGGTCAATAGATATAAGCACCATGGTTCCTACTGAGGCAGAGGTAATAATGTATGCTAGATACTGATCCAGAGCACACATGAGGTCACCAAAGAACCAGCAGCCATCTAAGTACATAATTTGAAAGCACATTACGAAACCCACGAAGAAATCTGAAACAGCCAGAGAGAGGAGGATGAGGTTGGTGGAGGTGTGGAGCTGCCTGGAGAGAAAGCAATATATTTATCATTATTTATAGTATCAATCATTATTCAGATAAAAACAGACACTTAAATACAATACAATAACATAACTTGGAAAAACTACTCTGTTCCTCACATTCAGCCAATTCTTTATTACTTTCTGTCAATTTCATAAATGAATGATTATCTACTTGAAGTGGGAGATAGAGATGATGACCAGCAGGTTAAGAACTGCAGTGAGCAGAGAGATGGAGGACAGCAGAATGTAAATCAGCAATCCTGGCTCAAAAGCTTAGAAACCAAGAAAAAGGAGGAGAAATTACTACTTTTAAGCAAGGGTGGTTTGAGGGAGGGGGGAGATTGTGAAAAGCAGAGTTCCACTTCTCAGGGTCTCCATCAGCAACAAGGGGGGGAATTACATGATGGACATCATGGGAGGCACTTTATGACCAAAGCTCTCTGTTACACAACTAATCTCTCTGCATCCTCCCTGCCCACACCTCCTTCCTCTTCACCTCTGCCCAATCCCATTCTCAGCACTTGAATCTGGGGAAAGTCAAGGTGGCATTTAATTGTCCATTTAAACTGTGTCAAGTTGATCTCTCCTGAGCTAAGTCATGTTGGGATCTCTGGGACCTTTAAATAGGAATTAGTTCATTTTGTGTGATTGAAGTGCACTTTTATTTTGATGTGTTACTTCCTGTGACCTCTCAGAGGTCATTTCTTATTACCTAAACCTGAGACCCTCTGATGACATGTGGTAACTGGGATGATGCGCAATGACCAGTTTGAGAAAACACCAGGGGCCAGGGGTATAAAACTCTGTATATTTAGGTGTAGAAACACTACCCCAATTGCCTCATATAAAGGATCAGCATTTAGATAAGTTTTGAGGAGAAATGACAGGAGCATCGAAGAAGCAAATGAAGAAGCACAATTTAACATAATATGAACTGGAGGTAATGGTGGATCAAAGTGACAAAAGAAAATGTGGATTTTCGACTTAGATTTGGATCCCTAAACTGTGGTATGAACAATAAAATGAAGTAAGGTGAATGGCAGAAGGAAAAGGAGGCAGTGAATGCCGTTAATTCTAAGCTTTGGACCTTGGAGAAGATCAATAAAAAGTACTCTGATTTTAAATGGTCTCTAAATACTTATTTTCGTCTAAATTACGCAACAGCTACATCTTCCATCAGCACCAAAGTTAATTGGTCACTCACAACTGAAGGTGTAGGTTATTCTTATCCCTCAATAAAACAGTATAATAATGTTTTTTTAAAGATCATGTATTTGTATTTTCCCTAAGATTTCAAGATTTTAAGACAGTTTCACTACCTGCGGATTTTTATACATTTGGATACTTGCATGAAATGTGGCGTGAGGACACTTTTTGTGTGTACGCATGGTTTATACATCTTGCCCTTGGTTGCCTTTTGTTCTCTCTCTCTCTCTCTCTCTCTCTCTTCCCTCTTTCCTTGCACTCGCCCTCACGGGAGACCAAGCTCCCGGACCTAGGTGCGGGCCAGACCCACCAGCGCAAGGAGAGAAAGAGAATTATGGCCGCCGCTAACATGCAAGCCTGCCCTTTGTCTTATGGTTCCTGGTTAGCAGAGAATGAAAGCTGAAATTGGCATCTATGGCTACAGACACAAAGCTTGCCAGTTGATTTTATAGGAGCAACAAGAAGCATTAGTGCCAAGCCACTAACTCTGCAAGTAAACAAAACACAGCACTTGTTTCTGACGTACCTTGTTATTTAGTAAAGTAGAAAAAAACATTAAGGAACTTTTTTTTTTCTTAATGCAATGCAGAGCTTCACCTGTATCATTATCATTTTCTGCTCCCTGAAAGTTTTCTGTTAGCAAGCACAGAACAGTTTGTACTTGTTCATGGACTGGTTCATACTGATGCAGGCTTTGAATGCAACCATCCTTTTATCCATGGCAATATTTTAATACGGCTGGAAATATGCTTGGCAGGAAGTCACTATCTCAGTGTATATATGCCTGATTTTAAAGATTGAAAATTTAATCTGCAGTGTTCCTGTTGCACTCGCTTTCCTCATCTTTTGGGTCGCTCATCCAATGAGCGCAAGATGGCTTCAAAGTGTCATCGAGACTGGACGAACTGAGGAGCCTTGCTGTTGCTGCGAAGTAGGGATAGCTGTTGACAGTCCTGGTTGTGGCTGAGGGTGTGGGGCAGATGCTGGTGACTCGTCATCACTGCGGAACAAGAACAAATATTACACACGTAAAAAAATAAAATAAAATTGTGGTTTACCAGGTTAAACAAACTGTTAAGACCAGATAAAGGAAACGATTTGTGTACTGAGCAAGGTTGACATACACGTGAAATCCAAAAACACAGGCAACCAAATCCAAGAGGCAAAGGCAAAAAGGCAAGTCTAAAGGTAGGCAAGGAAGAGAGAAAACAGAGACTAGCCTATACTACACAAGTGTGGGCGGGGCAAGCAATTACAACAGGCAGGAAACACAGAGCAGGAAGTGAAAGGATCTGAAGCGGGAGGGAGAGGAGAGTACAAAATAAAACAGAAAACACGCAACTTCAAAATTAGACAAACTATAAAAGACTGAATCATGACACAAACAATTCAGTTTAAAAGCAGTTTAAGTGACTGCATTACTGAATTACAGGGTAATAACCTTTCTTTGATGGAATTTGTTAATCAGGGTCACTGTAACTGTCTGGTTCAATTTCTGGCAGCAACAGGCCCTCATCCTCTGCTGTGTTCAGTAAGCATATGCAGCGCCACCATTGTTGTAAACATTTTTTCCTGCCTGTCATGATTTCAGGTACGTGTGTGGATTCCAAAAAATGTGGACAGAAAATGGAAAATAAACACAGCAAGATTAAAAGAGTGGCGTTGGAGGTTTGTTGCCTTGCGCTTTACACTTTGGTACGTAATCTGAATGACTGACACCTCTGTCAAACGGTCTTATGTATTATGTGTTGTCTTTTTTTTAAAGATACAAATGTATGACACCACTCAGGAACAACAAAGATCTGTCACAGTCCTAATCTTAGAGGTGGTGCTTTGTGCAAAGTAATGAAAATGAACAAACTAAGTAGTGTCAGTTTGGCATTTAAAAGTTAAAAAGTAACTGTTTGAGATTGGATCGGGACATCCCTAGTTACAATGTATTATTCTCTAAGACTGGATTCAGGCCAACTGATCGGTATATCTGCTATATTGAGCTTTTTGACATGATGCGATCATTGGTTTAACATCAGCTGGGACACAGCTGTTTATTGAAGCTTTCATGCACGGTGCAGCTTTACCTGCTGCGGTATAGAAGACAGCAGTATATGTATCAATTTATTTAGTAATTTATAGATGTGAGCACAGGTAAGTGGACCTGCAGGGCATTGCTGCCTGCCGCACCTCCGGCGGTGCCAGTGGGCCCGCTGTAGGGTCGTCAGCCGGGAGTCACCCCTCACCGATGTTTCGCCCCTTTAATCCCGGAACATCTCAAGGTGGTGGGGCAGTGACAGGGACGTCTCCCTGCCACTCCCTGCAGCTGGCTTATGGATCCTTTCCCACTATTATTGTAATCCACACAAAATATGTACAGATGACAAATACACAACAGAATAGACTGTTCATTATCTCAGGCAAAGGTTGTACCGAAGCAACAAACAGTCCAAACGTAGAACAGGAGCAAGGGGCTTTAGCTACCAAGCTCCTCTCCTGTGGAATCAGCTTCCATTTTGGGTTCAGGAGGCAGACACCCTCTCCATGTTTAAGAGTAGGCTTAAGATATTCCTCTTTGATAAAGCTTATTGCTAGGGCTGGCTCAGGTGAGTCCTAAACCATCCCTTAGTTATGCTGCTATAGGCCTAGACTGCCAGGGAACTTCCCATGATGCGCTGAGCTACTCTGTTCCTCTCCCTCTCCTTCTGCACACATTCATGTGGGGGTGTGGAGCTGCCTGAAGAAATACCAGCAGTATATCTATCATTTATAGTATCCATCATTCAGATAAAAGCAGATAGAGGAAAGACTAGAGTAAAATAACATTACTTAGAAAAATCCCTCTGTCCCTCACAGTTTGAGATAGGGAATAGTTTTTATTACCATTTATCAGTTTCAAAAATGAATTGTCGGGCTGTACGTCGTAGGGTGTTACAGTGGTCTAACTGTATTAGTTTAATCAATTAATGGTTATCAAAATGTATAATTATCAAAAGATAATAGAAAATGACTTTAATTAATATTAAAGATCCTCGGGGCACCACCCTTAAATAAGGGAAACGATAGCCAATAATTGATTGATCAGTCTCATAAAAATACACTAAACTATAGAAGTCAGATTAATAATTAAATTAATAACTACAACCAAAATCATTAATAATAGCTAGAGTGGGAGCTTTGGAGTTCTACATAGAAGAGGTTGGTCACTCACTCTTGTACGAAATTAATAAGGCCAGCATATTGAAACACAACATTTAATAGCCAGATATAATAAAAAGCAAACAGAGGAAAAATACACAATATACAATCTAACTTAAAAGAACTAAAGGTTGTTGTTGTTGTGTGTGTGTGTGTGTGTGTTTATGGGGGTCAAAAAAGGCTTATGTCCTGTGCCTGAGAGACACAGAGCAAATAGAGAGGCGGGAGGTTCTGAATCCCTCTCCCATGTGCTGTACTTAGACCAAATATGTGTTGTGTGTGATTTTAAATTAACGGTGCCGAAAAAAGGAGTAAGTGTAATGCAAAGACGATGTCTGTGTGAAGCATAACATTAAACTAACATCACCTTAGCACTGTCTCAAAGACTACAGTTACTACAGTAACCTCAGTTAATCAACATCACAATAACCACAGTAACCTGAATAAAACACATCAGCAACATTAACAATAATTAAACAGTCCTTGTTTAGCCGTTAACTCTGTTAAGTTGTCTGTCTATGCCCAGTACGTTACCGACGGTCCAAAGGAGAAGAAGAGTTGTGGGTGAGCTGCGTGGATCAGCTGGCGGTCCTGTGAGCCAGGCTGATCAGAATGAATTTTTCTTTGTCTTCAGTCACTACAAGCAGCTTTATTGCTTACATAAGGTATGTAATGACCATTTCTTCGCTTAAGCACATGGCCAGATCCCAGCACCATTCACTCTCTGCTGATAAACACTGATTAAAAGATAAAAATGATGTGTAAAAAACATATTAATCTTACATATTAAACCTTTAAACTGTCACTTTATACTATATATTTAGGGACTGGTTGGAAGCAGAAAATCCTTCTTCTAGTAGAAAAGTTTAAAGTCTGTAATAATTCAACACTTGTTTAGTTTATCAGTAATCAGACTTATGAGCGCTGACGTATGGATGTGAGCGGCTGCAGGAGGAGATCTGTGTTGTTTATATGTATTTGAGTTACTTATAACTTATGACAGATTCTTCAGAGTTCATGTTTTGAGCTGTATAGCATGTGGGAACGCTGATGATGTAATTTGCCTTTGGCGGTTTCTTTTTTTAATTTTCTGAGTTTCTCAGCTTGTCTGATGACG